AGTGTTAACAGACCTAGAATGAAATTAAATTTCTGATGTTAAGTAGATATTTGACTTTGAGCAAACTGTTTACCCTCTGGGTCCTCGTTTATTCATCTAGATAATTAGGGAACTGTCAGATGATATTTAAGGTCTCTAGAGGTTTATGTTTTTAAATGTCAGAGTTTTCTTGTTCTTTAAATTTTCTATTAATTTCCTTTTACATTTTAGGTGGACCACCAATTTAGTTCTCAAAAGCCTATATTAAGACTAATCTGATTTGTTAAAACAGAAAACAAAACTACTATAACTGAGAACTGGATAACCAATTTTACCCTCCTTTAATAAGATTTTCCTCTAATCTAGAAATAAATCATGACTAGAACCATATAAGGGAGATTCGATGTTTTTAGGCATTAAAACATTATATATTTTATAGAAAGAGGCACCATTCTAGATTATATTCACAGCGGTCCCCAACCTTTTTGGCACCAGGGACTGGTTTCATGGAAGACAATTTTTCCACGGCGGGGGGGAATGGTTTTGGGATGATTCAAGCACGTTACATTTATTGTGCAGTCAAACATCTCTGCTAATGATAATCTGTATTTGAAGCTGCTCCCCAGCACTAGCATCGCACCTCAGCTCCACCTCAGATCATCAGGCATTAGATTCTCATAAGGGGTGCGCAACCTAGATCCCTCGAATGCACAGTTTACAGTAGGGTTCCAGCTGCTGTGAGAATCTAATGCCATCGCTGATTTGACAGGAGGCAGAGCTTATACACTGATGTAAGCAATGAGGTGTGACTATAAATACAGATGAAGCTTTGCTCCCTTCCCACCAGTCACCTCCTGCTGTGTGGCGCAGCTCCTAACAGGCCATGGACCGGTACTAGTCCTCGGCCCAGGGGTTGGGGACCTCACCTGTAACATACTAACACAACCATATAAGCATAGCAAAGTTCATATTGCTAAGAAGTTACTTATCACAGTCACAGGTTTATAAAAATAGCATCTTGGGTATTAGATGTAACTAAATTCTAGGAAAGGTGTTTCTAGAATTTTAGACATATATATGTTTATATCCTTGTTGCTTAAAATCTTTATTTCCAGGAGCGTATAATGACTATTCTCCTAGTAAACTACTTTATAGTCCATGAAATAATTTTGAAACTTTGAAATCAAATCATAATAATTAACTGTTTCTCTTAGGAACTTCACAGGCATTGAGCCCTAATGGAAGCTCCAAGAAAATGTGAATCCTGAGCTGTGTATGGCTGAGGAGGATTCCACAGAGTTGTTGAGGGAGGTGAGTCATCTCAGCATTCACCTACATTAAACCATGAAAACATTTAGCATGAGTAGTTCCTTAAGAAGTTTATTATCTAAGGAGGAGATAGAAGAAAATACTAACACAAAGTTTCAAAAATTTAAGTATAATTAGTGAAAATAATATAGGTCACAAGGCAATAAGACTGTAAAAACTACATAGATAGTGATTGGTATAACAGCATAGCCATGGAAGAAATTGGTCTAGCATGAGGTAGCCAGAAAAGGTTTTAAAGGAAGTGATCTTAAATCTTGGCCTTGAAGGGCAGGTCCAATTTGAGTAGGTACCATATGTTACATTCTGCTATACTGAGTCCCAACAACAGTGGATGTACTTCTCAAGGGGTAATGTGCAGTCTGTGAGGGTACAGTCATTCTATCTTGTCTTTTAGCATGAGCATCGTAAGTTATTCAAAGAACATACCTTTCAAATATTTCCTTTTCTGTTAAAACATCTAGGTATCCAAAAGGAGAGTCTAATAAGTACAAATCAGCATCTTTATATACTGCTCTGAAAAGAAAATGGAAATTAAATTAGATTTCCTCACTATTTACCGTTATTTAGTGTAGATGAGTTTTTAAACAACTCACTACATGCAGTATGGTCACCACATCCATACTGTATCCATAACCCTATTCTCAACATAGTGCAGAAATAGTACTATTAGAAACTTCTGTTATATGCGTGTCTTTAGTAGTGTAGATGATTTTAAATGAGAAATAAAGAGATAAGTTGTGGATGATTTCTATGGCTTCCAC